TTTAGCCTCACAGAGTATTTCTGTGCTCTGCCTCCGGCTTCTTTGGACATCTTGGACTTGAGAAACAATCATCAGAAAGATGAGAAAAGAAACAGAGATGTCATCTTAATCATGTTCATATGTCCTCACAGACAGAGAGGCGGACAGACGAGCCCCCCAGAGTCCAGGGGGGTTGGAATGAGCTGTGGCTAACCGCTGGTTTCTTCCATCCCGACCACTGTGCAAGTTCCCACCATGCCCTGTTCACACACTGGTGTATGAACACACATCACACGATCACAGGAACAACAAAAATCTGTCTGAATATGAAAAGTTAGACTTTATCACTTCATACCTGCAGAAATTCATAAACAGATTTTTCTTCTACTGTTTCATCTTTTTTAAAAGGATTTCTTTGAAGTTAAAAACATTTCCTGGAGTCATCATGTCAGCACCATCATATGGAAGAAGCTCCCTCTAACAGATCTTCATTTACACTGATCCATAAATCTGTTCATAATAACGTTAAAGACATCGATGATACAGAGATGAATAAAACTTAATGTTGACTCATAGGTTGTGGGAAGAGATCATTTTATTCTTAGCATTAGAAATATTATATTTGGTGGCTTTTACGAGTCCCACACTGACAAACTGAAATGTCTAAACCACGGATGAGGCCCATTCAGCCCAATTTGACCTTAAACTCCACTTTTCTGTCTCAGATATCGTGATAGAAGAAAAAAAAAGTGAAATCCCAACAATACATCTCAGTTCTTCGATATGATAAAGAAATACTGTTGCAGTAAATGGATGAAATCTGTCAGCCTGATGTTTCTGGATTAAATGTTAAAAAATAAATGTGCAAAATTCCTGAAAAATGGTTCAAATTCCCAGATTCTCCTTAAATAATAAAGCAAAGGAAAAAGTCTTTTCTTTTCTATGAAAAACACTTTTTTTCAGAGAGTAAAAAAGAAGGAACTTTTTACAATCATTTAAATTTTTATCCATTACCTAAAAGCTTTAATGAAAATATTGAAAGTATTTTGCTACCACTTATTTTAAAATCTGTGCCCTCCCTTCCAGAGCCACGCAGTGGGCCGGGCTGGACTCTTAGCGGTCCAATTCTGGCCCTCGGGCCATAAGTTCAGAACCCCCGGGC